TCATCCAGGGTTGAACTGGAATTTGGTACAACGGAGAAGACGTAAAAATGTGTTCAAATTACCCCACACTACCCTACCATAATACCAAAATAGACGGGTTTTGCCGAAACAATTTTCTAACACTTTTTTACAATTCCGGCACTATAGTTCGTTTTTTTCTAAGTTCGACCCTAACTGTAAACGTCTCGTTGAACACAGCACGAGAATTGGTAGCTGAATTACTGAGAAAACTCGTTGGCATACAATGATTTCGCAGACGATCAATTGTATCAAAATTATTTCTACCTGGCTTCTTTTTCCCCGACTCGCAGTTCGGTATTTGCAACCCCACAAGGATCGAGGACTTGTCAGGGAATATAGCTGAACTAATAAATAAATCGCACGGTGTTTAGCACGCGCAGTGGAAGGGTTGCGAGCACTACCCCCAGTGGAAGGGGGGGGGGGGGCGGATGTCGCCCCCCCCCCTAAGATCTCAGCTCCCACTGGAGCTAGAAAGACGAAATTTAGAGGGTAGGTGGGGGCCATAGGGAACTCTGTTGTGTGTGAGTTTCATGACCCTAGGTCAATAGCTTCAAGGTCAAATGAGGTCAAATGTGGTCAAATCTGCCATATTAGCGACTTTTTTGCGTTTACACGCCGATAACTCAAAAAGTTACCGGCCGATTTTTTTTTTTAATCTTTCACTATACGAAAGAACAAACATTTTTGAGTATGTATGGTGAATTTCTAGATAATCCAACAATAAATATGGCAGTTAGAAGCCTGCTAAGGGTAAGATGTCGCCTGCTGAAGCGGCATCGGCCGACGCGGGAAACGCGGCAATCACAATTTTGTGTTTACACACTCATAACTCAAGTTGTTACCGGCCGATTTTCAAAATTCTTTGACCATATGATTGCCTGTATATTTCTCAGTCTTCTTACCGAATTTGACGCGAATCTAATATAATCAGCGGTAAGGAGCGCGATGTAAAGACGGAACCGTCCCGCCCCGGCACAGTCTACAATTCAGGCGGCGCGTAACGGCTTGCGCCGGCCGCCGCGCCGCCGCGCCGCCGCGGCGGCAGGATGTTGGACTTTAGGGACTTTACACCGCTATTACCACGGGCGCGGGAACCGGGGGGGGGGGGGGGGGCAGTGGGGGCAGCTTGCCCCCCTAACTTTAGGGCCGTGGGGGCGGTGCCCCCACAACTTTAAGACGGAATGCCGCACTTTTTTTGCAAATGTTTTCTTTTTTGTTGAAAAAGCCAAGGGATGAAAAATAAATGACCTAAAACCGGCGATAAAACTAAATTTGGGGGTACCCTAGGTTGAACTCTATCATGGTGTGCCCCCCAGTCTGAACGTAGTTCCCGCGCCCCTGGCTATTACCTACTAGAAAAGTTGTGAACCGATTTCCTTACTTCTTGCACGAGAAGATCTGCAATTCAATTCTGGACAGGTAGCCGAAATTTCACATTGATATTATGCTCGCGGCGCGAGTTATTGGCGAAAAACAGGAGGGATGGGCGAAATCCGCCCCCCCCCCCTTCCACTGCGCGTGTTAACACGCGCAGTGGAAGGGGGGAGGGCGGATTTCGCCCACCCCTCCTGTTTTTCGCCAATAACTCGCGCCGCAAGCACGATACTAATGTGAAATTTGGGCTACCTGTCCAGAATTGAACTGCGGATCTTCTCGTGCAAGAAATAAAAAAATCGGGTCACAACTTTTCTAGTAATAGCGGTGTAAAGTCAAACATCCTGCAGCCGCGGCGGCGCGGCGGCGCGGCGGCCGGCGCTAGCCGTTACGCGCCGCCTGAATTGTAGACTGTGCCGGGGCGGGACGGTTCCGTCTTTACATCGCGCTCCATACCGCTGATTATATTCGATTCGCGTCAAATTTTGTGAGAAGACTAAGAAATGTACAGGCAATCTTATGGTCAAAGAATTTTGAAAATCAGCCGGTAACAACTTGAGTTATGAGTGTGTAAACACAAAATTGTGATTGCCGCGTTTCCCGCGTCTGGCGATCCCGCTTCAGCCGGCAACATCTTACGCTTAGCATGCTTCTAACTGCCATATTTATTGTTGGATTAACTAAAAATTCACCATACATACTCACAAATGTATTTTCTTTCGTATAGTGAAAGAAAAAAGAAAATCGGCTGGTAACTTTTTGAGTTATCGGCGTGTAAACGCAAAAAAGTCGCTAATATGGCAGATTTGACCACTTTTGACCTCATTTGACCTTGAAGATATTGACCTAGGGTCATGAAATTCACACAAAACAGAGTTCCCCTGGGCCTCCACCTACCCTCCAAATTTCGTCTTTCTAGCTCCAGTGGGAGCTGAGATCTTAGGGGGGGGGCGACATCCGCCCCCCCCTTCCACTGGGCGTAGTACTCGCAACCCTTCCACTGCGCGTGTTAAACGACTGTTTTTATTTTGTGTAGCAGCAGCAGCATGGTTTATGACTGACGCTAGTAAACGCAGGCTATAATCGGTGTACACAGCGTGCAACTGCTTCCCCTCAGCTATAGCGCCCCAGGCATCGCTCTTGGACGCTGTGGAGGCAAACACCCTAAAAAAAACTTCCTCCAGATTCCAAAGACTCTTCGGATTTCGATTCCTCACCCACTGCTGTGCAATTTAAACCGCATTCCAAATTTATCCCAATAAAAGCTATTTAGTCTACTTTCTTATTCACGATGTACCTGCTGTAAATTTTCGTCGATTTCGTGCCGCCACGGGGAGACATTTTCCAAAATGTCCCCTGGTGATGTGCCGGCGGTTTCAACTTCTACAAACAATTAACAAGACACGATACTCTGGAAAACATTAGGTATGAGGGGTAGGCGGATCCAGCTCAGAGTTTTTTTTTTGGGGGGGGCAAACCATAACAATTTATCGATTCTTTCCATGCATCGTCCATAGGCGTAATGTTAAAATTATGCCGTTTGGGGGGGGGAATGCCCATTTTGCCCCCCCCCCCTGGATCCGCCACTGAATGAAGATGTCAGATGTGTATCAATCTTAGCGGCTAGCGCATATGTATCGCTGTCGGCAGGTACTGATAGCTGACTGCCAATGAAGGAACTGTCGAAGGTCGTAACTGACAACATGACTCTCGTGACAGCTCAAGGGCCTCAGGTGGCTGTTCGGTCAGCTGGCGGCGCGGCGGGGGGACGCCGAGCTGCCGCCGCCAACGCGGCTCCCTCCAACAGCCCTCCGAGCTCGGAAGGCCTGGTGTGGTGACCCCCCCCCCCCCCACTGCCGCGCCCCGCGCCCGTCCACGGTCTGCTTCCGCCCAGCCCCCGCCAACCGTCAGTCGGCACTATGGCAATCGAGTACTTCTTATTTTCGGGTATTTCTGGCAATTTGGTCACTTCATGATCGCCTGATCGCCTCGTACCGCAGCGACGAGACAGCTCCAGTCCGAAACTGAGGTTCGCCGGCCGTCCGGGAGACGGCGCAGTCGACGATGAGACGAGCACGCAGTACGGCGTAATGGTAAGGCCCTAATAAATACAAGGAGAGGTACAGCGCAGTACCGTACAGGGGAATATTTACAGAATAGGCCCTTGTGCCATACATACAGAGCCGTGACATATGTTGTAGACTTCCTATGCATGTAACCATGATGAAACATGTAAATATATGATGATGAAGATGATTAGCCAGATGCTCATTATTTAGGATCAAAATTGATAGAATAGTTGTATTACGTTTCACCCACGGGGCTTCTTCGGATACATATAGGTAAATTCAACAAATAGAACACAGAGATGCAGGCCAAGCTCAGACACAAATCATGCGCATGCAATAAATATCGTGAAAGGATTAACAGATATCTTGAGATTTAGACGAATAATAATTTTAAGATCGACCCCTAAGTGCGTACTGCGCGCTATTATTTGTCTTTGTTAATAAATACGTATACCTATTTAGCAGTCGACAACACAATACGTACTAAGCGAATTACGCTATCATTCCATCTCAGAATTCGTACTACGCGCACACTAATACATACACATCATTCTAAATCACAGCTAACAATGACCTATAATACCCAATCATAATCTGTGTTCGGCGGTACAGCATATCTACAGGCGCTGCCTACTGGAGCCATCTGTTAGACCCGAAAGGAACTACTGCTACTATGTAGGTATCGGTGTCATATAACGCTACCAACAGAACAAGCCAAGGAACAAGCGCTAATGTGCATATGATGATGTGTAGGGAACTGGATGGAGTAAGCGCCATGATGATGTGTTTTTGTTAAGTGCTGGTTTTTTGTTTCTTATCTCAATTGATTCAGTTATTAAAAGGTTCGCTTCGTCCTTGCATCTATGAAGAATAGAAATTTCGAAGTCAGTGTTCATCGGTTGTGCTGTGGGGTGTGCTGTCAGTATATGATCACCTAGGTCAGTACCTTTCCTTTTGTTCCTAGCGTCTCCCAAGTGTTCCATAAATCTAGTCCTCACCATGCGTTTAGTTTTACCAATGTATGTATCTCCACACATTTTACATTTAATCTCATACACAACGTTTTTGGTATGGCATCTACCTTTGAGGCCACCCTCACACGTACTGCAAGTCTTACGACACCCCCTGGGACAATCAGGGGGTTGCAGTGCAGACGAGGTCAGTTGATTTGAGAGTGTAGGTCCGCTTTTCCACGCAACTCGAATATCCAAATCTGAGGACTTCACTGCTGCGTTGACTTTACGTGTGAGGGTTTCGTCAATGTAAGGTAGAGATATGTAGGTAATATTGGGAGAAGACTTTTTCTTTTGAGATTGTTTGTTTTTATATCTGATTGCGTTTTGTATGTTACGAATCAGTTTAATCGGATAGCCGCTGGAAATGAATATGTCCGTTATTTTTTGTAGACCCCGGTCCTGTGCTGCTTTATCAGACCCCAAACGAACAGCTCTAAGCGACTGAGAGTGTATGAGGCTCCTTTTGGTCTGCATAGGGTGGCTGGAGTCAAAATGTAATATGATAGGGGCTGCTGATGGCTTAACATAAAGTTCTGTGGTGTATGCTCCTGAGGAAGGGAATTTGTCTTTGTGACGAGAGATCGGTGCGTTCAAAGCTGAATTTTAGACAAGGATGGAAGCTATTAATGAACTGTATGTATTCATCTAAGTTTTGCGAGCCATGGGTCCAAATACCAAAAATATCGTCGATGTATCTAAGGTAAAGTGCAGGTTGTAGTCTATCCGATGCTAGTATGCGTGTTTCTACTGCGTTCATGAAGAGGATAGCCAGGGGAGGGGCTATACGGCTTCCCATAGCTATCCCCTGGGTTTGCTTGTAATATTTTGTACCGAAGCGTACATAGTTGTTTTCCAGACAGTGCTCAAGTAATTTTTTCACATCAGGGATGGTGAGACCATATAAGTTCACCTTTGACGAGTGGGTACGTAGCATAGCTATAGTCGCCTCTATCGCTTCTGCTGTGGGGATGTTACCGTAGAGATTGTTCACGTCTACTGTGAATGCGATGGCACCGGGTGGGAGGCCAGAAGGGAATCGAGTGCTCAGGTGTTGCAAATAGTCATAGGTGTTAGTTAAGTGGGCTGGTACTAGGATCAGAAGCTGGGTGATTATTCTCTCTAGGAACCACGAGAGCTTGTCAACTGGGTCCCCACATGCTGATACTATGGGTCTCATCGGGTTGCCTGGTTTGTGTGTTTTCGGAAGTCCATAAAGTTCTGCCGTGCGTGACTCGTTAGGTTTTAGAGCGTGTATGATTTTGTCGGGTAGTTTACCTGCCAAAGTCTCGGTGATGAGGTCAGAAGTCTCGACGTCTAGTTTTTTGGTTGGATTTTTGTCAATGGGCTGATAATCATTCACTATAGTTTCAGTCTTGTGTACGTACTCTGATTTCTCCAAAAGGACTAATCCCTTGCATTTATCTGAGCGCTTGACGATAAGGTCGTCATCATTCTTTAGGTCTGTGAGTGTAGATCTGTCATGTTTTGTGTGGTTCTGTTTGGTGTTTGATTTGTGGTGAGTATACAGACCCATTACTTTTTGTTTGAGTTTCTTCAGTGCGTGTTCTGTGACAGGGTGGGCTTGAGGTGCTTGTTTCGTGTCCGTGTCACTAAATCGAGGACGAAGCGTAACCTGGGGCTTATGTTGAACTTGACCTGGTGGTCCATGTTGTTTGTTTTTATTTTGTTGCTCGATTTCCTCCTGCCAACGTATAGCAAATGCGCCTCTTTCGAGGCCCACTTCAACGTTGTGTATAGTGTGATTGTTAATGCGTTGTGAGAGGGCAAAACTGGGACCCTTTTCAAGAAGGTTGGTCTCTTTAGAGCTGAGAGGGCGAGTTGTGAGGTTGGTGAACTTTTTAACAGTGGATGCCGGAGCTGGCAGGCCTAGCGCTTGCTCTATCGCCGGGTTTTGTTTGTAGTCGTTATCAACATCACACCTATCGCTAGAGATAGTTCCGTTCGAGGAAGTAGGCATAGGAGGTGCGCTGGTCTGCCTATACTGATTGTCACACCGTGTAGTACTATATCCTATCCTAGTCTGAAGGCCTCTGGATTTCGGGCGCGCTCCACTACCGGAGTGCTCCTGTGTGACGCTACTGGTAACGAGGACAGCTCCCTCAATGGCGTCATGCCAATAACTAGCGCCCTGCATCTCCACTCCTACCCGGTTTTCAACATGTGCGTCAACCCAAATGTCATTATCAACATCTAACTGAGAGGCAATACTCCGTTGATCTCTGCCAGCTGCGGGGGCATCCTCTGACCGATGATCAGAGATGGCATGGTCCACAGCGTCAACGCAATGATACTCAAAGTATGGTACTGTTCCCTCATAACTACTCCCTTGGGCGTCAAACCACACTTCATCATTCAGTTCGTGTGGACCTGTTGTTACCGACACACATCCCTCTTCCTTGACGCTACTGGTCACAGTTTGTAGGTTACCATCGTCTGATTCCCCCTGTGCACTCACCCGCTTCCCAATAGCCATGGCGATGGTAGCCTTACTGCTAATGGTGGTAATATCCTCCGTGACACCAGTGATGGTAGTGGTGTCATCAGTGACGGCGGTGGCGACGTCGGTAGCGATGCTGGCACCAAACAGACCAGTGATGGTGGCACTGAGGTCACCCAGGTAACCAGCGATGGTGGTGCTGAAGTTACCGAGGCATCCAGCGATGGTGTCACAGAAGTCCCCGACGGCAGCAGCAACGGCAGCGACACCGGTGGTAGTGGAGGCGTCACTGAGGTCATCGGCGACGGCGGCACCGAGGTCACCGGCGGCAGTGGCAGCAGCACTGAGTTCATCAGCGGCAGCGGCAGCAACACTGAGGTCACCGGCGACAGCGGCGGCGACACTGAGGTCACCGGTGGTGGCGGCGGAAGCACAGTGGTAACCAGAGCCAACGGCAGCGACACTGAGGTCAGCGGCACTGAGGTTACCATCCTGTCCCACCCTGTCACAGAACACGCACTGAAGAAACTCAAACAAAAAGTAATGGGTCTGTATACTCACCACAAATCAAACACCAAACAGAACCACACAAAACATGACAGATCTACACTCACAGACCTAAAGAATGATGACGACCTTATCGTCAAGCGCTCAGATAAATGCAAGGGATTAGTCCTTTTGGAGAAATCAGAGTACGTACACAAGACTGAAACTATAGTGAATGATTATCAGCCCATTGACAAAAATCCAACCAAAAAACTAGACGTCGAGACTTCTGACCTCATCACCGAGACTTTGGCAGGTAAACTACCCGACAAAATCATACACGCTCTAAAACCTAACGAGTCACGCACGGCAGAACTTTATGGACTTCCGAAAACACACAAACCAGGCAACCCGATGAGACCCATAGTATCAGCATGTGGGGACCCAGTTGACAAGCTCTCGTGGTTCCTAGAGAGAATAATCACCCAGCTTCTGATCCTAGTACCAGCCCACTTAACTAACACCTATGACTATTTGCAACACCTGAGCACTCGATTCCCTTCTGGCCTCCCACCCGGTGCCATCGCATTCACAGTAGACGTGAACAATCTCTACGGTAACATCCCCACAGCAGAAGCGATAGAGGCGACTATAGCTATGCTACGTACCCACTCGTCAAAGGTGAACTTATATGGTCTCACCATCCCTGATGTGAAAAAATTACTTGAGCACTGTCTGGAAAACAACTATGTACGCTTCGGTACAAAATATTACAAGCAAACCCAGGGGATAGCTATGGGAAGCCGTATAGCCCCTCCCCTGGCTATCCTCTTCATGAACGCAGTAGAAACACGCATACTAGCATCGGATAGACTACAACCTGCACTTTACCTTAGATACATCGACGATATTTTTGGTATTTGGACCCATGGCTCGCAAAACTTAGATGAATACATACAGTTCATTAATAGCTTCCATCCTTGTCTAAAATTCAGCTTTGAACGCACCGATCTCTCGTCACAAAGACAAATTCCCTTCCTTGATACACTAATCACTGTAGAACCCTCAGGAGCATACACCACAGAACTTTATGTTAAGCCATCAGCAGCCCCTATCATATTACATTTTGACTCCAGCCACCCTATGCAGACCAAAAGGAGCCTCATACACTCTCAGTCGCTTAGAGCTGTTCGTTTGGGGTCTGATAAAGCAGCACAGGACCGGGGTCTACAAAAAATAACGGACATATTCATTTCCAGCGGCTATCCGATTAAACTGATTCGTAACATACAAAACGCAATCAGATATAAAAACAAACAATCTCAAAAGAAAAAGTCTTCTCCCAATATTACCTACATATCTCTACCTTACATTGACGAAACCCTCACACGTAAAGTCAACGCAGCAGTGAAGTCCTCAGATTTGGATATTCGAGTTGCGTGGAAAAGCGGACCTACACTCTCAAATCAACTGACCTCGTCTGCACTGCAACCCCCTGATTGTCCCAGGGGGTGTCGTAAGACTTGCAGTACGTGTGAGGGTGGCCTCAAAGGTAGATGCCATACCAAAAACGTTGTGTATGAGATTAAATGTAAAATGTGTGGAGATACATACATTGGTAAAACTAAACGCATGGTGAGGACTAGATTTATGGAACACTTGGGAGACGCTAGGAACAAAAGGAAAGGTACTGACCTAGGTGATCATATACTGACAGCACACCCCACAGCACAACCGATGAACACTGACTTCGAAATTTCTATTCTTCATAGATGCAAGGACGAAGCGAACCTTTTAATAACTGAATCAATTGAGATAAGAAACAAAAAACCAGCACTTAACAAAAACACATCATCATGGCGCTTACTCCATCCAGTTCCCTACACATCATCATATGCACATTAGCGCTTGTTCCTTGGCTTGTTCTGTTGGTAGCGTTATATGACACCGATACCTACATAGTAGCAGTAGTTCCTTTCGGGTCTAACAGATGGCTCCAGTAGGCAGCGCCTGTAGATATGCTGTACCGCCGAACACAGATTATGATTGGGTATTATAGGTCATTGTTAGCTGTGATTTAGAATGATGTGTATGTATTAGTGTGCGCGTAGTACGAATTCTGAGATGGAATGATAGCGTAATTCGCTTAGTACGTATTGTGTTGTCGACTGCTAAATAGGTATACGTATTTATTAACAAAGACAAATAATAGCGCGCAGTACGCACTTAGGGGTCGATCTTAAAATTATTATTCGTCTAAATCTCAAGATATCTGTTAATCCTTTCACGATATTTATTGCATGCGCATGATTTGTGTCTGAGCTTGGCCTGCATCTCTGTGTTCTATTTGTTGAATTTACCTATATGTATCCGAAGAAGCCCCGTGGGTGAAACGTAATACAACTATTCTATCAATTTTGATCCTAAATAATGAGCATCTGGCTAATCATCTTCATCATCATATGTAACACAATGCTCAGTACTAGCATCTCCATCCTCAAAAATGTCGAACCAGTTTCTAGCCGACGCGGAGTGCTAATCCAAATGTTAAAGAACTCGGAAAAACAGGCCAAGAATGACGAGAAGATTCAATTCTTAACCGCATGTCGCAAGACGAAGATCACTCCAAATTTCATTGCAAACTGTCTCAAGACGTCCGTGCAAGTCTTGGGAAACACTAAAGGTATGCGCACTGTCCATAATGATTATTTGCGTCGTACTTTGAACGAGGTGATCAAATCCTCGCACAGATACAGAGCCTTTCTTCTCAGAGAACACAAGAGGCTTAGCAATGAGTCTAACGGCCTTGACTTACACCTATGGTGCATGCAACGGAGTGTAGATGTCTACCATGAAGTAAGGGCATCAACCCACACAAGACTCATGAAGAAATTCGCCAACCTCGTTGGACACCAGAACTCTATGCCTGATGACAATAACATACTTGCTTCCGCCGCTGGTCCTGGCCACCTGGACGTCGCTGCCGCTTCCGCCGGTGACCTCAGTGTCGCTGCTGCTGTCGCCGGTGACCTCAGTGCCGCTGACCTTAGTGTCGCTGTCGCTGGCTCTGGTTACCACTGTGCTTCCGCCGCCACCACCGGTAACCTCAGTGTCGCTGCCGCTGCCGCCGGTGGCCTCAGTGTCGCTGCCGCTGCCGCTGATGAACTCAGTGCCGCCGCCACTGCCGCCGGTGACCTCGGTGCCGCCGCCGCCGGTGACCTCAGTGTCGCTGCTGCTGTCGCCGGTGACCTCAGTGTCGCTGCCGCTGCCGCTGATGAACTCAGTACCGCCGCCACTGCCGCCGGTGACCTCGGTGCCGCCGCCGCCTTTGACCTCAGTGTTGCTGCCGCTGCCGCCGGCGACCTCAGTGTCGCTGCCGCTACCGCTGATGAACTCAGTATCGCCGCCACTGCCGCCGGTGACCTCGGTGCCGCCGCCGCCGGTGACCTCAGTGTTGCTGCCGCTGCCGCCGGTGACCTCAGTGTCGCTGCCGCTGCCGCTGATGAACTCAGTGCCGCCGCCACTGCCGCCGGTGCCCTCGGTGCCGCCGCCGCCGGTGACCTCAGTGTCGCTGCTGTTGGCTCTGGTTACCACTGTGCTGCCGCCGGTGACCTCAGTGCCGCCGCCACTGCCGCCGGTGACCTCAGTGTCGCTGCTACTGTCGTCGGTGACCTCAGTGCCGCTGACCTCAGTGTCGCTGCCGTTGGCTCTGGTTACCACTGTGCTTCCGCCGCCACCACCGGTGACCTCAGTGTCGCCGCCGCTGTCGCCGGTGACCTCAGTGTTGCTGCCGCTGCCGCTGATGAACTCAGTGCTGCTGCCACTGCCGCCGGTGACCTCGGTGCCGCCGTCGCCGATGACCTCAGTGACGCCTCCACTACCACCGGTGTCGCTGCCGTTGCTGCTGCCGTCGGGGACTTCTGTGACACCATCGCTGGATGCCTCGGTAACTTCAGCACCACCATCGCTGGTTACCTGGGTGACCTCAGTGCCACCATCACTGGTCTGTTTGGTGCCAGCATCGCTACCGACGTCGCCACCGCCGTCACTGATGACACCACTACCATCACTGGTGTCACGGAGGATATTACCACCATTAGCAGTAAGGCTACCATCGCCATGGCTATTGGGAAGCGGGTGAGTGCACAGGGGGAATCAGACGATGGTAACCTACAAACTGTGACCAGTAGCGTCAAGGAAGAGGGATGTGTGTCGGTAACAACAGGTCCACACGAACTGAATGATGAAGTGTGGTTTGACGCCCAAGGGAGTAGTTATGAGGGAACAGTACCATACTTTGAGTATCATTGCGTTGACGCTGTGGACCATGCCATCTCTGATCATCGGTCAGAGGATGCCCCCGCAGCTGGCAGAGATCAACGGAGTATTGCCTCTCAGTTAGATGTTGATAATGACATTTGGGTTGACGCACATGTTGAAAACCGGGTAGGAGTGGAGATGCAGGGCGCTAGTTATTGGCATGACGCCATTGAGGGAGCTGTCCTCGTTACCAGTAGCGTCACACAGGAGCACTCCGGTAGTGGAGCGCGCCCGAAATCCAGAGGCCTTCAGACTAGGATAGGATATAGTACTACACGGTGTGACAATCAGTATAGGCAGACCAGCGCACCTCCTATGCCTACTTCCTCGAACGGAACTATCTCTAGCGATAGGTGTGATGTTGATAACGACTACAAACAAAACCCGGCGATAGAGCAAGCGCTAGGCCTGCCAGCTCCGGCATCCACTGTTAAAAAGTTCACCAACCTCACAACTCGCCCTCTCAGCTCTAAAGAGACCAACCTTCTTGAAAAGGGTCCCAGTTTTGCCCTCTCACAACGCATTAACAATCACACTATACACAACGTTGAAGTGGGCCTCGAAAGAGGCGCATTTGCTATACGTTGGCAGGAGGAAATCGAGCAACAAAATAAAAACAAACAACATGGACCACCAGGTCAAGTTCAACATAAGCCCCAGGTTACGCTTCGTCCTCGATTTAGTGACACGGACACGAAACAAGCACCTCAAGCCCACCCTGTCACAGAACACGCACTGAAGAAACTCAAACAAAAAGTAATGGGTCTGTATACTCACCACAAATCAAACACCAAACAGAACCACACAAAACATGACAGATCTACACTCACAGACCTAAAGAATGATGACGACCTTATCGTCAAGCGCTCAGATAAATGCAAGGGATTAGTCCTTTTGGAGAAATCAGAGTACGTACACAAGACTGAAACTATAGTGAATGATTATCAGCCCATTGACAAAAATCCAACCAAAAAACTAGACGTCGAGACTTCTGACCTCATCACCGAGACTTTGGCAGGTAAACTACCCGACAAAATCATACACGCTCTAAAACCTAACGAGTCACGCACGGCAGAACTTTATGGACTTCCGAAAACACACAAACCAGGCAACCCGATGAGACCCATAGTATCAGCATGTGGGGACCCAGTTGACAAGCTCTCGTGGTTCCTAGAGAGAATAATCACCCAGCTTCTGATCCTAGTACCAGCCCACTTAACTAACACCTATGACTATTTGCAACACCTGAGCACTCGATTCCCTTCTGGCCTCCCACCCGGTGCCATCGCATTCACAGTAGACGTGAACAATCTCTACGGTAACATCCCCACAGCAGAAGCGATAGAGGCGACTATAGCTATGCTACGTACCCACTCGTCAAAGGTGAACTTATATGGTCTCACCATCCCTGATGTGAAAAAATTACTTGAGCACTGTCTGGAAAACAACTATGTACGCTTCGGTACAAAATATTACAAGCAAACCCAGGGGATAGCTATGGGAAGCCGTATAGCCCCTCCCCTGGCTATCCTCTTCATGAACGCAGTAGAAACACGCATACTAGCATCGGATAGACTACAACCTGCACTTTACCTTAGATACATCGACGATATTTTTGGTATTTGGACCCATGGCTCGCAAAACTTAGATGAATACATACAGTTCATTAATAGCTTCCATCCTTGTCTAAAATTCAGCTTTGAACGCACCGATCTCTCGTCACAAAGACAAATTCCCTTCCTTGATACACTAATCACTGTAGAACCCTCAGGAGCATACACCACAGAACTTTATGTTAAGCCATCAGCAGCCCCTATCATATTACATTTTGACTCCAGCCACCCTATGCAGACCAAAAGGAGCCTCATACACTCTCAGTCGCTTAGAGCTGTTCGTTTGGGGTCTGATAAAGCAGCACAGGACCGGGGTCTACAAAAAATAACGGACATATTCATTTCCAGCGGCTATCCGATTAAACTGATTCGTAACATACAAAACGCAATCAGATATAAAAACAAACAATCTCAAAAGAAAAAGTCTTCTCCCAATATTACCTACATATCTCTACCTTACATTGACGAAACCCTCACACGTAAAGTCAACGCAGCAGTGAAGTCCTCAGATTTGGATATTCGAGTTGCGTGGAAAAGCGGACCTACACTCTCAAATCAACTGACCTCGTCTGCACTGCAACCCCCTGATTGTCCCAGGGGGTGTCGTAAGACTTGCAGTACGTGTGAGGGTGGCCTCAAAGGTAGATGCCATACCAAAAACGTTGTGTATGAGATTAAATGTAAAATGTGTGGAGATACATACATTGGTAAAACTAAACGCATGGTGAGGACTAGATTTATGGAACACTTGGGAGACGCTAGGAACAAAAGGAAAGGTACTGACCTAGGTGATCATATACTGACAGCACACCCCACAGCACAACCGATGAACACTGACTTCGAAATTTCTATTCTTCATAGATGCAAGGACGAAGCGAACCTTTTAATAACTGAATCAATTGAGATAAGAAACAAAAAACCAGCACTTAACAAAAACACATCATCATGGCGCTTACTCCATCCAGTTCCCTACACATCATCATATGCACATTAGCGCTTGTTCCTTGGCTTGTTCTGTTGGTAGCGTTATATGACACCGATACCTACATAGTAGCAGTAGTTCCTTTCGGGTCTAACAGATGGCTCCAGTAGGCAGCGCCTGTAGATATGCTGTACCGCCGAACACAGATTATGATTGGGTATTATAGGTCATTGTTAGCTGTGATTTAGAATGATGTGTATGTATTAGTGTGCGCGTAGTACGAATTCTGAGATGGAATGATAGCGTAATTCGCTTAGTACGTATTGTGTTGTCGACTGCTAAATAGGTATACGTATTTATTAACAAAGACAAATAATAGCGCGCAGTACGCACTTAGGGGTCGATCTTAAAATTATTATTCGTCTAAATCTCAAGATATCTGTTAATCCTTTCACGATATTTATTGCATGCGCATGATTTGTGTCTGAGCTTGGCCTGCATCTCTGTGTTCTATTTGTTGAATTTACCTATATGTATCCGAAGAAGCCCCGTGGGTGAAACGTAATACAACTATTCTATCAATTTTGATCCTAAATAATGAGCATCTGGCTAATCATCTTCATCATCATATGTAACACAATGCTCAGTACTAGCATCTCCATCCTCAGAAACATGTAAACCTCGTTATTGGTTGTCATTTCTACGTGCTATTAGTAAACGTGCGCACCGCCTCAGGCGATCACGTTCCATCGCGCGCCAAGCGCGCCAAGATTTGGGAGACGGCCTTGGTCACGGTATATGCCTTGGTTTTGTGTACCGTGGTCGGGACGACGGTGAAAACAGGGCGCCTGGGGCGATTTGATCAAGGTTCGTGAAATTTACACGTGACGTTTGGCATACAGAAGGCCCATTGAGGGGGAGAAGTTCCAAATGTCACGTGACTAATATGCCCCCCGGCGCCCTGTTTTCACCGGCGTCCCGTGGTCGCCGTGTGGTCCGTGGTGGTGTTTCCATTTCGATATTGTGTTCATTCTACTTACATGGAGGAGTTTCCTTTCTCGCTGTGTGATATCTATGAATATGCTGGAAAAAATGTTGATCTCTTGAGAGAAGGAGAGGCGGTGATGAATGCCCAACATTTACTAGCAGTTGGGATATGGGAGAGAACTTCTCAGAAACTGACTGTAAAAGCTTTTTGTATTCTGTCCGAAGAGCAAATTGAGGAGAAACCCTGTGAGATTCTGCTCGACATGACCAAGGACAAGGAAGGTTTTTCTGTTAAATGCTCTTGCAATGAAGAAAGTGATTTGCATGGGAAGTGCAAGCACTGTGCTGCTGTCATCATCCATGTTTACAAGTAAGTCAAAGTGCTAAAGCCCTTGTCCAGTATTCCAGTCGGGGAAACTATGGTAAAATCTGCTATTTTTAGCAGTCTGCTATTTTTAACAGAAATCTGCCAAAAATGGGTACGCATGTGACGTCACCGTACCCAATTATAGCAGATTTGGGTACAGCCCCATACAAAAGCAGATCTGCACCCTAATTGAAGCAAATGTGCATCAAATGCCTGGCAGGTTCATGATGAGAATAGTGCTGAGAATGTCCTCTGATATTTTTGTTCAGATCCGACTATTTTTAAATAATGAATTTGAAAATAGTCGGATCTGAACAAAAATATCAGAGGACATTCTCAGCACTATTCTCATCATGAACCTGCCAGGCATTTGATGCGCATTTGCTTCAATTAGGGTGCAGATCTGCTTTTGTATGGGGCTGCACCCAAATCTGCTATAATTGGGTACGATGACGTCACATGCGTACCCATTTTTGGCAGATTTCTGTTAAAAATAGCAGACTGCTAAAAATAGCAGATTTTACCATAGTTTCCCCGACTGATTCCCTACACAGTACCTACACTGTATAATTATTACAACAGGTCAGATATTTTCTCCAAGGGGAGGTCCAGAATGCTGGACATTACCGTCATTCGGGGTGACTTAGATCGTCGGGGTGACTATGATAATGCCCCGGGTGACTATGATAGCCCACAGGAAAACCACAGAAACACAGGAAAAGGGGGCAAAGGATCTCTGCTCTTGCAGGGATGGCAGTACAGGCACAGCACCTCAAGCCATCAGGGTCTGGGACACAAGAAAAGGACAAAGCAAGGGACAAAACCAAAGAAGCGAAGCTTCGCTGAGCAAGACAAAGAAAATGAGTCAGCAGAGGAGCCAGACTCAGGGGAGGAGGAAAAGTGTAGTATCTGTGAGAGGTGGAACCCCCCTGGAGCCACAGGGGACAAGAACATCAAGTGGGAAGGGTGTGAAAACTGCCAGAAATGGTACCATGTGTCATGCATTCAAAGTGAAATGAACGATGCTACCGCAGTCGTGGAAGAGTACTGTGATTGTACCTGGTGAGAAGGAAAACCACACAAGACGTGAAGATGTGACCATTTGTGACATGTTTGGCTCCTTGCCAGTTGTGCTTGCCCACAAAAGTTACAGTTTGACATTTTTAAAGTGTTATTTTTAAGTGTTTTGTGACCACATGCATCCGAAAGTGGGTGAATTGTGATCACTTTATGTTTTGAAGAAAAAAGACATCAAGTTTGCATTGGTGCAAAATACTTTTTTTAAAACAAACAGACCTATCATAGACACCCCCATTGCTGTGCTTGTTTGACCAGTCAACTCATTTACAATGCAAATAATGAGGGGTATCATAGTCACCCCGACCTTGGTGTGACAATGATAATTTTTTAACCAAAAAAATAAAATATAAGGGAGTGATTTTAAATATTCAGATATACACCATCATGCACAGAATTCCCCATTTGGTATCTTAGAACAAACCCTGGTTCAAAATATCTTTTCAGATCTCCCCTGCATTGAAGAAAATAGCAAAAGTTTTACAAAGTCACCCCGAATGACGGTATTTCCTGAAATGCGTATTAGCCTGAGGTCACCGTAAAACTTCAACCTTGAACCTACCCACTTTACTTGCCTGTGGAATAAAGATTTCTTATAATATTCTATAAGTCTAGCTTAGCTTTGACCTTTGGTGGATCCAGGGTCCGAGCGCAGGGGCATGCCAGGTCACGGAGCCAAACCTAGGTTACCCCCAAATCCTCTTTTCTCATCAGGTTTAGGCCACTTATTTTCGCAACAGCCCTGATACCAGACTGGAAAACATCCTTACATTGTGCCGGCCGCCCTTGAGACTCTTGCTCCGAAATTCAGCCCAAATGATTTTGCACTGAAATTTCTGCATGATTTGGTTTGAAAATTTGGACATGCCTATTTCTGCCAAAATTTAGCCAATTTGTGTGAAGCACATGTGCACATCTACTGATCAAGGCTGCATCAATCAGATAGTGTTCCAGGGCATTGGACGCTTTCCAACGTTTGAGTGTCCGAAAGTTTTTTTTTTCCTCGGAAACCCAATAGGTATTTCAATAAGCGCAGCACACTGTAGCGTTGCCGTAAAACAAGACCGGAGCCGGAAGTTCCGGGGCCACGAAAATCGGCGGAGAGGTGTGTTCGAGGCTGGCGGGAGCCAGCGAGGACCAGGCAGCGTAGCAGCACGTGCTCCGGCTCATCAACCTCTTCTTCGCGTCCGCACACGGCTTGTCTGGGCACCGCTGGCATGCCGCAGAGGGAAGACGTTCGATTCGGTGCACGTACTGGAGCGCCCCAGTGGCCCGCCCTCATCTGGTGCACCGAAACGGCGTCCCCTCGGTCCTCTCCGGGTAGGTAAAGGCCTACCTAGGTACCTACTTAACTACCTAGGCCCTTGGCGATGCCAGAAAATGTTCATCTAGTGCAAACGTCTAGATTTGCACTAGATGGTCTCAGGGCCCTCTGACATCAGCGGGGGCCCTCTTACGCTAGCTCAGGGCCCTTTGATGCCCTTTAAGGCCTTCTGAAGTCCGTTTGACGCCAGCCTTTGAGGCCTTCTCTAAAGTTTGAGACTTTTTGAGGGTAGCTTGACGCCAGCTGAGGACCGTTGAACTCCAGCTGAGTACCGTTTGAGGCCTTCTGATGGCCATTTGACGCCAGCTGAGGGCCCTCTGACACCAGCTGAGGGCCCTCTGACACCAGTTGGGGGCCCTGTGACACCAGCTAAGGACCCTTTAAGGCCTTCGGATTGCCGTTTGACGCGAGCTCAGGGCCCTCTGTTATCAGCTGGAGGCCCTCTGACGCCAGCTCAGGGCTCTTTGACGCCCTTTAAGGCCTTCTGAGGTCCATTTGACGTTAGCTGAGGGACCTTTGGGGCCATCTGAGGGCCCTTTTGACACCAGATGAAGGCCATTTGACGCTGAGGGCCCTTCGAGACCATCTGAGGACCCTGTGACGCCATCTGAGGGCCCTTTGAGGCCTTTTGAGGCCCATTGAAATTTCACCGCAATCACCCTGGCTGCGCTGCTGGGCATTTTATGGAGTCTCTGGGCTTCGTATGGGCCTGCTGGGGTACGAGATACGGGATACGAGTATTTTCAATCATTATTTCAGCTCATTTTTTACACGGTCTTGGGCAGTCAAGGATTATGGGCCCATCTCATCTGGGCCTCAAATCCCTCGAGTTGGGCCCCCTAACTCGAATGGGGATGGGAGCCCGGGCCCGTGTGCCTCCCCCCGCCCTTGAACAGAACTACCAGAAACATCGCCATCGAACTTCGTGAAGAATCGAGCGCCGCACTCGATAGATGCTACGGCGTCGTGTGTGCCTCGAATAGGATGTGTCTGCCTCTTCACGAGCTTGTTCAGCTTCGTAAAGTCTATATACAGTCAGTCTGCAGTTGCACCTCGAGACTGAGACATCTGTCAACCTCTTGAGAACCGAAACGAGTGGGTGACACTACTCAGTCGAGTGGTGGACAGGCTTGATGATGCCCTTCTGCTGCAGGTCGTCGAGCTGCTTCTTAACCACTGCCGCTCGTACATTGTATCGGGCGGACCGCAGGACGCTACTTTGATATCGGTTAATCGTCCGATCGAAACTGGATTATGCGTGCTTTGTTGACGACTCCGCTAGCGAATCTGCAGTAGGAAGGTTCTTGACTCCGTGCACCATGCGGCGCTCCGTGTCGCCACCGGTGCATTCCGTACGTCGCCCAAGAGCAGCATCCTAGCCGAGGCACACGAACCGTCACCATCTCTTCGCCTTCAGATGCTGGGGATGAGGTACGCACTGAAACTCCGCCAGTTCCCAGGACATCCGACGTATCCGTACGTCTTTTCCCCTGGTTTTAATCGACTTGACAGAGTAGGACGATCGGTCTCCTTCGGAGTTCGCATGAAAGAGCTCTTTTCCACTGCCGATATAGGCTTCCGTGGCGTGCGACGTATGTACAGTCTGTCTTAAAAGAACCGCGCAAAGTGACGGTGGATCCATCAAGCCTGACCGAGGAAGGGCCTGCTATAATTTGAAAGTCACCGAACCAATTGACCTTGGGTAAGGGACAGACATGTGCTTGGATCCGGAAAAATGGATCTGAGATCCGATCCCATGGATCCCGATCCGAGATCCATTCAGATCATAGATCCAACCCCTCAATTTTGTCGAGAGATCTACTGGGATCATAGATCTGACCCTTCAATTTTGTCGCTAGATCCACTCGGATCATAGATCTGGCTCCCCAATTTTGTCGTGAGAT